TCTAGCATTTCTGCCTCCCTTGCTTCAAGCCTTCTCCCTCCAGAAAGGTGAGGTACTAAAGTCCTAACAAGCAATTGGCCAGAACAAGGCTCTTAGGCATTACGGATAGATTTTGTTATTTTTATTTCAATGTCAGCTGACAACGGTGGTCTCTTTCTTAAGGATTGTACTTAACAATAGCTCTGTTCTCAGGCATCCTGCTGAGATAAACACACTATTAGGGACCTTCATAAAGGTCCCATGATAATTGTGAAGGGACAGTTACTGAAAATGAAGCACCCAGCCCTGAAGCCTCCTCCACGGGCCATCAGTAACACCATTAAAGTTGTCACTTTGTCAGTCTCCTGGAGGTATTTATGAAATCAATATACAATCCTGCAGATGGATGGTGGCTGTATTGTTAGCTGGAGAAGAGAGGCTTCAATGGAAAATAAAATTAATCAAATTTACAAGCAGATTGTCCTAGGGAAGAGATAAATCCCTTACCCTCTACTAGTTTGCTCAATTGGGACAGGAAGAGTGCAGTGGCAAGGTGGTGGAAAGCAAACATTACTTTATACTGGAATCCTTAACTGTTGTTAAATGCCGGCCAGTCGGTTCTGACTCATAGCGACCTTGTACAGGGTTTCCAAGGAACAGCTGATGGGTTTGATCTGCTGACCTTGTGGTTTGCAGCCCAGTGCTGATCCGACAGTGCCATTCCAGAATGGATGCGTTGGCTGGGACCCTTAAGTAGGAGTAGCATAGAACACACACACAAACAAAAAATGGCTACCATAAAGTCAGTACTGACTGTGCCCCATAGGGCTTTCAATGGCTATGAAATTAAGAAAGTAGATTTCGAGACCTTTTTTCCAAGAAGCCTCTCTTGTTGGTGCTGAGTGCCATTGCATCATTTCCGACTCACAGTGACCCTGTATAGGGTTTCCAAGGAGTGACTGGTGAACTTGAACCTCCAACCTTGCAGTTCACTCCGACCGTGCAGTCCAATGCATTCACTGCAGCGCCACACCGGGAATCCTCTAAGTGAGTTTAAACTTTCCACTTTCCAGTTAGAGTCAAGCACGTAGCCATTTATGCCACCCAAACCAAAAACCAGATCTCTGCCATCAAGTCATTTCCCATAGAGTTTCTGAAAGCTGTCAATCTTTATGGGAGCAGAAAGCCTCATGCCTAGTGGATTTGAAATGTTGACCTTGTGCTTATTTTACAGCACCACCCAGGCTCCTTAGGGACATCCTAAACTGGGTAATTCAGTTGGGTAGGTTAACAAAAAGAAAATGGTGAACCAAAAATCAAATTTTGATTTTAATCCATCACACAGCTGTGTGATTACCTTTGTTTTCCTGTGTGATTGCCTTTGTTGGGGTCTTCCAGCATCACCCACAGATTGTTCTTCTTAAATATCAATGTTCACCTATCTGCCTCCTCTCTTTGTTCCACTAAATTGCAAATCCAAAGCACTGTATAATCGCTATGCCTTTCCGTACTTGCCCCTCTTCCAGCTTCGCTGCCATAGTTAGAGCTGGCCATTCTAAGCCTCTCCCCTTCTGCTCATCAGTCATTCATCAGAATACGGCTAAAGCTCCTCTGTCAGAATGGCCAGAGATAGCAGTCCGCCCTGGGTGGGCGTGGGGTGGGAGCCAGGAACCCAGAAACGGTGTGTGTAGACGAAGTCTTAGCAGCCCGGAGACAGCCTTCACTTGACTAGAAAAACCTGGGTCCGTAATAAGTGGCTGTCGGAGCCTCGGTGTAGCCCAGATGCCTGGTAGAAATTGAATTAGTCGGATGACAGGACCACGGCCCCTTTCTCCTGGAGGCTGATGGAGAGCAGCAGTGTGGCCTTGGTGACACCGCCTGACCTTTGCTGTCATCGTGGGCCTTTGTTCAGCGCCCGACTCCAGCCTGGAGCCCTGCTCATTGAATCAAGCCCAGTCAGGGAGCCTGTACTGGGCCCTTTCTTTGTACATTTAAATGCACTTAAATCAGTTGCAAGCAGAGAAGATGGGTTTGAGATGCAGAGTGTCCTGTTATTGAGCCCTAGAAATCATGAGCTTTCACACCTGTACCCCATTCTAACTCTGAACATTTCTTTGGTGCCTAAAATGCCCAAGAGTGGCCCCAGACAACCCCCAAGTAAATGTGAATACAGAAAAACACATGTAGTCTTTCTTCCTAGAGTTTCTTTCTGTTCCCTTTCAAAGGGTTAATTTAAAAGGCTCAAGTTTTAGTGGAGACTGGCTGCCTGATCTCTCCTCCCAAATATATTTGAGTTTATCAATCGCTTTGGATCAGGTACCTTTGAGGAATAAATATGGAAATGTTTGTTGGCATGACCATCTGTAGGACATTCAACAACTAAAGATGTGTTTTTACCTTATGGTCCAGAAAGCTCTACTTGATGACTTTGTATCAAGGAAATAATTTGAAAACTGGCCCAAAATCCATGGGCAGGGATATTCGCCCTGTTGTTGTTGTTGCTAAGCGCTATCAAGTTGGTACCGACTCATAGTAACCCTACACACAACAGAATGAAATACTGCCCAATCCTATGCCAACCTCACAATTGTTGCTACTTGTGAGCCCATTACTGCTGCCACTGTACCAATCCATCTCGTTGGAGGTCTTCCTCATTTTCTCTGGCCTTACTTTACCAAACCTTATTTCCTTCTCCAGGGACTGGTCCCAACTGATAATATATCCAACGTATGAGAGACGAAGTCTTACCATCCTGGCTTCCCAGGAGCATTCTGGCTGTACTTCTTACAAAACAGATTGGTTTGTTCCTTTGGCAGTCTGTGGTACTTTCAATATTCTCCTCCAACACCATAGTTTAAATGCATCACTTCTTCTACGGTCTTCCTTATTCACTGTCCAATTTTCTCATGCATATGGCGTTATTGAAAATACCATGGCTTGGATCAGGTGTACCTTTCAAACTGACATCTTTGTTCATGAACACTTTAAAGAGGTCTTGTGCAGCAAATTTGCCTAATGCAATACATTTTTTGATTTCTTGACTGCTGCTTCTATGAATGTTGATGGTTGATCTGAGCAAAATGAAAACTGCAATCTTCTCTCTATTTATATGGATGCTATTTATTGGTGAGGATTTTTGTTTTCTTATGTTGAAGTGCAACCCATATCAAAGGCTGTGGTTTTTGATCTTCGTAATTAAGTATTTTAAGTCCTCTTTGCTTTCAGCAAGCAAGGTTGTATCATCTGCATATCACAGGTCATTAATGAGTCTGCCTCCAATCCTGATGCCACATTTTCCTTCATATAATATAGTTTCTCAGATTAAATAGCAAATAAGTAAATAAATAAATACATGTCCGACAACTTGGAATGGTATAGCCCATCTATACATTTTGATGACCAAAACAAAACAAAACTCACTGAAAGTCTCGTAGTGACTGCATAGGGTTCCCAAGGCTGTAAATCTGCTACATATTTCTTTCATGAAGCAACTAATGGGTTCTAGCCATGGATCTTTTGGTTATCAGGTGGTGCTTAACTAGTGCACCACCAGGGCTCCTTTGATGGCATACAGTCGATTAAAATGTTGTCATAGACGTACAGTTACATACACAAACAGATGTCCTCAATCAAGTAAATGAAACAGTAACAGATTATGAAGTCATATTGGCTAAATTTATCTATAAATGTGTATAAGTCTACAGGATGCTGTCTGTGATAAAGGCAGCCTGCAGAGCAAGTTTGTTAATGGACTCCTGGTGTGGATCAGCACTGGATTGTGAACCACAAGGTCAGCATTTCAAACCCACCAACTGCTCCTCAGAAACTCTATACAGGCCTCTATGAGTCGAAACTGACTCAACAGCACTTAACATCAACAACATGTATATATTCTAAGATTGATGATCTCTGAATAATTTTTTTTTATCTTAGTAGCTGAGTGTGTGTGTGTGTTCTTAGGAAAATATACCTCTTTTAATCAGAAGAGAGTAGAAATATATTTCTACTGTGAAGAGGAAAAGAACAACTACCCAGGCCCTCCATCTGGAAGTGAGAGCTGGCGGTGCCCTAGCCCCATCCCTCTGTGTGCCTCTCATCCAGCCACGCTCTTCCAATAGCTTCTATAGCCCGTGGCTGTGCAGGAGGGTCCTGAGTGAAGTGCGGTATGAGAGGCTGATTTGCACACCATGGAGGCCTACTGGGGGTCTTTACAGATGGATTCCTCCTTAAAAGCCTTACCTCAGAATGAAAAGTTTATGTGTTAGGCCCTGCAAAAGAAAACAAGACCTGGATGGGTCTTAGGAAAGGGACTTGAGGCTGTGAGGGTGGTTAAAGAGGACTCTGAGACAAGAATAAGACTTGGGTAGAAGCCAGCTGCAAGACCGCAAATGCAACATGTTAGAGCTGTTTAATGCTAGATGAGGGACCAGTGGGACCTCCACTTTGGTTGGGACTATGGAAATGCAATTTGAATTCATCATACCTGTCACTAAGAAGATCCAGGGGGCCCCCAAAAGTCTTGGGGATTCTAGAATCAGCTGGGGCAGTCACCCCCATCAGAAAATCAGAAGGACCAGCATCTGTTTCCATCCCAGATGACAAAGGCAGGGAGTCCTGAGGGGCCTTGGAAGAAGGAAGATTGAGTGGTGTTGACCCTGCAGTGGGGGAGGACAGCCATGGGGGAGGAGGGGACAGGGTCATCTCTGGGAGGTGACAAAACATCACTGGGTGCAATATGTGCAACAAATAACCCAGCATCTTGGCTCGTGGCCTGGAGGTGCGAGACCACCCACAGAGCCTTCCTGGGAGGCGAGCTGCTCCCCGCCTGGTAACCATTTCAGCAAAGGCCATCACTGGGGAACAATGTGAATGCTTGTAGCAGCCTCAGGCCTGAGACTAAACAATCCCCAAACACCCCAGACCACAGAGGAAGCCTAGGAGGGGTTTTGTTATCTTAATGAGATGCAGATCGAGCCAGGCCTGGGTCTTTAATGCAGTGTGCCTCTTCTCTTCTTGTTTAGAGACCTGAGTGAAAACCAGATCCAAGGCATCCCCAGGAAGGCGTTCCGCGGCATCGCCGATGTGAAGAACCTGTAAGTGATGTTTTTGTTGCTTCTCTGCAGATGTGGCTAATTCGGGCTCTCTGGCCACAGCAGTGGGGGTGTGCTACAGAGACAGATGGAGGGACACACTTGAACGGTTTGCAGGGATGCCACAGCTGCTTGACAGAGCCCTCATCTTCCCTGGGTATTTGTCCCCAAGTCACAGACTAGGTTCAGAACCTGTCCCCACAATTGCTCTGTGGTCTTGGGTGCAACTGTGCTTTCACTATCTTCTTCTATAAGGTGTGTCAAGAAGTATAATCTTGTGAGGTATTGTGTGCAACTGAGGAAATGGTTTTAGAAATCAGTGCCTGGTGTGTAGTAAGTTTCCAATAAACAGGAGGCTTGAGGAGGAGGATGAAGTTCTCACTGTTGTTCATAAGATCATAATTGGTTCCTTTGAAAGAATATTGGGATGTCCTGGAAAGACATAGATCCACTATATAGATCCACTGTCATATATGGAATTTTCGTTTCTTTTTGTTTGTATATGAAATTGCAAAATAAACATAATAATACAAAGAGGTACCCTTCCCCCCAGTTTCCTCTAATGATAGCATCTTAGATAGTAGTATACTATAAAAACCAGGACACTGACTTTGGTACAATCAACAGACTTTATTCTTCAGATGACACTAGTCCACACACACTCTGTGTGTGTGCGTGTGTAGTTCTAAGCCATTCTATCACATTCATAGATCAATGTAACCATCACCATGATCAACGTGTACAACAGTCTCATCATCACATTACGTTTTTTAACTTGCCAAAAAGCTTTTGTCGTTTTCTACTTGGCCTTATCCCTAATGTGCCTTCTCAATGCCCCCAAACCACTGTGGTTCATGAGCTCAGAACATATCATCTTTCTAGAGGGTCACCGAGAAGGTCTGGTTTGCCTGAGGAAGGATTTCTACCTACCGGTTTCCTCCCAAGGCTCAAATTCAACTTGAGATGTCTTGGAGGAGGCTTTCCTTACAACTACTGTAACTATCACTTTCCCTGTAAAGAACGCAGGGATTTTTATTTACTAGGATCCCAAAAGGAAGCCGGTGATGGCGTCCAGATGGAGTTTCCCTACCTCCTTCATTGCTGAGGACTCAGAAGGAAATGTTTGTTGCGTAGTGCTGCAAGACACACAGGAGGGTAGAGAGAAACGGGAGTGGTGGGGAGAAGTGGGGAGGCAGTGAGAACTTTACAAGGGTCTCTTAGACAGGAGGGTTGTCTGCTGCTTCATCAGAGAGTGTTCTTGGGAGAGGAGGAAGGGTGGGGAGCAGCCAGAGAGGCATTGAATGCCAGGTTCTTTGTAGGGCAGGTGTACACCCCACTCAAGAAATAACTTGCTGACTCTATATATAGCCTTGCAAAAACGAGGTACAGGAGCATCAAACCTTCAAAACCACCAAGTAAATAATGGTGGGTAATCTCTCACCCTCCAATGGCACTTCTAATATTTCAGAGTGCTTTTCTAGCAGTTTGTTCCTTGGATTCCAGGCACTGAAGAATATGCACGTGAACCACACAAACAGATTGTATTCATTATCTGCACAGAACATGGTCAAGAGTGGAACTTTGAGATGCTCTAAAACCCTGCAGTTCAGGAATGAGAACACTGAGGCCTAGAGAAGAGCAATGCCAACTTCTTCGTGATGGGACCCAGAATGAGCATTTTTCTATCACGTTATCCATCTGCTGGATCTCATGACTCCAACTTTAAATGGGTCAGTTGACCAAAAAAAGAGAAAAATCCTTTGTAATGAAATATAAGCCAACCAAAATTAAACCAAGTTGTGTGGAGTGGATACTGAGGCATGGTGACCCATGTGGGTAGAATCATACTGCTCCGTAAGGTTTTTATGGCTATGTCCTTTATGAAGCACATCATAAGGCCTTTCTTCCAAAGACCCTCTGGGTGGGTTTGAACCACCAACCGGTTAGTGTCTAAGTGCTAAACCATTTCCATCCTATAGGGAATCTAATGCATGAGGTCAACCAAAACCCAAACTCATTGCTGTTAAGTAGATTCCAACTCATAGCAACCCTGTAGGCAGACTAGGACTGCCCCATAGGCTTTCTAAGACTGTCAGTCTTTTACAGAAGCAGACTGTGCCGAGCAGCTAGCTACTAGATTCAAACTGCTGACCTTTTGGTTACTAGCCAGGCTCTTTAACCACTACACTACCAGGGCTATTTAACATATAGCGTTGTTGTTGTTGCTAAGTGCTGTCCAGTTGATTCCGACACACAGCAATCCTGTGTAGGGTTTCAAAGGAGCAGCTGGTGGGTTTGGACTGCCGAACTTGTGGTTATAGTCAGCAGTCCAGCGCTCATCCTACAGCACCACACCAGGGCTAACATTAAGCAAGAGCTTAATAATTACTAACTATACTTTTGATTCTCAAGAATGTGACAAAATCCCATAGTGATCATCAGTAGCTGCTGGATTTTGGGGTGTTTTTTTCTGTTTACGTTATTTTTTGTTGTTTTTTTTTTTTTTTCATCTCTAACCATGTGGTGCTGTGGGCTAATGTGTCAGACTGCAAAGTCATTTGAACTTCAAGGTCTGTGGTTCAAGCTCACCAGCAGCTTCTTGGAACCCCAATACAGGGTTGCTATGGGTCAGAATCGACTCGATGGTACTTAACAACAACACAATGGCCTCAGGAGCTAAAGGCTTCAAGAATATAGACACCTGAGTCATTCCAGGAACTGTGATCAGGCCCACCTTTCTGAACCTGCAGATACATTCATGAAGAATCTGGTATCAGCAAAGAACTCTCTGTTTATACTCAGGAGATTGGAGGGAATTGGAGTAAACCCATTGTCTAAAAGAAGAATTAACCAACAGAACTGAAGGGGGATTGGTAACTCTGCAAATTTAATCAGTATATCAGCCTGTATTTGTTGGGCAGAACCCATAAGGCCCAGAAGTATTCGGTTAGGTGGCTTATAGTGTTGTTGTTGTTGAATGCCATTAAATCAGTTCCAACTCACAGTGACCCTGTATAGGCTTTCCAAGGAGCAGCTGGTGAGCTTGAACCACTGAACTTGCAGTTGAAACCAGCCTTGCAGTCCAGTGCATTAACAAAAAATGTACATATAAGACAATGTTTAGTCATGTTAGAAACAACATAAAAGTTGGTACATGAGTGCTGTGCATAGTAAGGGACTATCACAGTCCAAGGAAGAAAAGTTAACTTTTTTAAAAGAAAGGTCCGGCAATTTATTACCAAAACATTAGTTTGTTTGTTTTTTTCCCCATGTGTCTAACCTCCAGCCAGTGACCCTTTAGTAAGCATCAGAGAATGTCTCTTTCAATGTGAAAACCTTTTGTTGCACTTTTTACAATTGTGGTTTTACACATTATATGTCCTTTTGTGACTGACTTATTTTGCTCAGCAGAATGGCTTCCGGGTTCATCCATGTTATAAGATGTTTCACAGATTCATCATCATTCTTTGATGTTGTGTGGTGTTACACTGAGTGTATCTACAGGTTGTTTACCCACTCTTCCATGATGGGTATTTAGGTTGTTTCCAGCACTTGTTTGTTGTAAAAAAAAAAAAAAAAGTAGCTTTAAGCTGTATAGCACATTACTGTTGTTAAGTGTCTTTGAGTTGGTTTTGACTCACAGTGACCCTGTATAGTGTTTCCAAGGAGCAGCTGGTGAGCTTAAACCACCAACCTTATAGTCCATGATGGGCATTTAGGTTGTTTCCAATCTAAATCAGTTCCAACTCACAGTGACCCTGTATAGTGTTTCCAAGGAGCAGCTGGTGAGCTTAAACCGCCGACCTTATAGTCCATGATGGGCATTTAGGTTGTTTCCAACCTAAATCAGTTCCAACTCACAGTGACCCTGTATAGTGTTTCCAAGGAGCAGCTGGTGAGCTTGAACCACTGAACTTGCAGTTCAAACACACCAAGATTCTGCAATACAGCAAAGAGGTAAAAAAAAAAATAAGACTTTGGAAGTTCATTAGATTACATCTGAATTCCAGTTGTTCTACCTACCAAATCTCTGCCTTTAGGTACATCACTTGACACCCCTGAGCCTAGGTAGTCTTCTCTGGAGAAAAAATGATTTTGTTTACCTACTAGGGTTTTAGTGAAAGTTAATAAAATCATGTATACAAACAAGTAACCTTGTACTATGCTTGACATATCATTGCTATTTAGAAAGTTCTAGCTATTGTTGCAGCTGTATTTCTTTATTATTGTAATGGCACAGACTTTAGCTGGGCATGAGTGATTGATCATTGAAATTCACGGTGTAAACAAGGTAAAGAGTGTGTGCAAATTGTGGAGGCAAAACTATGTAATGTGTGCTTCAGGAAGCAGGAGCAGAGATGTTTCCTGGGAGTGGAAGAACTGTGAAGCAGATTGTTATTGTCATGTGCCGTCGAGTTGGTTCTGACCCATAGCGACCCTGTATAGGGTTTCCGAGGAGCAGCTGGTGAGCTTGAACTGCCAATGTTGCAGTTCAAGCAGCTTTGCAGTCTAGCGCATTAACCTACAGTGCCACCGGTTAGCGGGTAGTAAGGTTGGAAAGAGAAGTAGAAGTCCAATTGTGGAGACCTTAACTGCAAGGAGTATGGACTCTTGATATAGCTAATGGGGCTGTGGAGGCTTCTGACCTGGGAGACAACATGATGCCGTTGTGTATTCTAGAAGAGAGACCTAGGCAGCATATGGAAGGAAGTAGAGGCAAGAGAGACCAGGGGACTGGATGTTGAGGTTGTAGTCCAACATAAGGGATCAGGGGTAGGGAGAACAATCAAAACAATCAAAAATAAAAACTTTAAATAAAAAAATCCAAAGTGAGAAGTCATATGAAAAAAAAAAAAAAAAGCCAATGGAGCATAACAATCAATGAATTGTAAGAGGCCAGGGGAAGAGAATTGAAAAAAATGAGTTCTAGCTCAAGTTCAGATGATACAGAGAACAACGGCACAATCTCAGATCCATCCATCCATCAAAATAGTTTTGAAATC